AAAAAAAAAAAAAAAAAAAAAAAGCTTAGCATTTTAGCACTTTGCAAAGTGCTTAGCATAAACTCTTTAATGCTGTTATTTTCTGCCTTGTTTTATAATTATTTATGATTTATTTCTCTTAAACCTATATGTTCTTTAACAACTAACAGGCTTTTACCAAAGACTGATCGACTGAATTAGTGATTACAGTGAGCCAATCCCTCATCATTAATCATATATTTGATTGTTCTCCAGAAGTGATTAGTTGACTTTATTCAATAGAGCAAAAATGAAGGCTACTCAACTGAGCAGTCTGACAACTGAGAGAAAGCATTCCTATAAGACTTGGTTTTCTGTTTATTGAGAAATGTGGATGATTATAATTTTAATTTATTACTTTGGATGAATGGCCTTAATTTAAAATGTATTCATAGTACTTTGTTGGCATCAATACATTACCCTTATTTATAGCTTCCAGTATGCTATGTTTAGATTGTAATCAATGAGGGTATTTATTTATTTACTTGGGGATAGGGCCTCTTTAATTCAGGCTGGCATTAAATTCACTATGTAGCCCAAGCTGGCAGTCCTCCTGTTTTGGGCTCCTGAGTGTTGGGATCACAGGCATGTGCCACACACCTGGCTCTGCTGTGTTTTTGACTCATTATATCCATTGTACAGAGTTTAGAATGGGAAAATTAGATGAAGCTACTTATAAATTTTATAAATCTTTTTTACATAAAGTCTATGGATAGCTATGTAGATTTTTCTTTCCAGTGTTTGTTATGTGGCCAGCATTTATATTTTCAATTTGTCAGAGACTAATTATAACTTAATACAAAATTTGCAAGATTAGGGAAAAAATTATCCTGAGACCTTGTTGTTGACTTCTGATATTGTAAAGGTAAGTAGATTTTACATTAGTTCAGGTTTGATTGGCATTAATAAGGCTGAAAGCCCACAGCAAGCAAAAGCTTGTGAAGACTAGATCTCGTAGTAGTAGAAGGAAGAATTTTGAGGATATAGCTCAGAAGTAGTATGCTTGCCTCACAAGGCTGAGGTAGACTCTGGGTTTTATGCCCTATATCAGAAAAAAAAATAACAATCTATTTCTTTTGGCCAGGCATTGTGGTGCACGCCTATAATCCCAGCACCCTGGGACATTGAGTGTCAGAAGTTTGAGCCCAGCCTTATTTATATAATGAGACTCTCCCCTTGAATCAGCAGAGTTATTCTAGTTTTACCTATTTTACAAACAAATCATGGCCTGTATTTTATTGTTTATTGGGGAAGTGAGGAGTGATAAAAAAAATGTTTAGCTTTAAAAACTTTGAAAGGTATTGTTTTACCAATAAGTGAAAATTTGAGAATGATTTTTTTTTTTTTTTTTTTTTTTTCTGTGTTAAGGTCTTACTATACGGTCAGGCCGGGCTTGGACTCAGCATGTTGCCTATGCTGGCCTCTAACATCAAATGATTCTCCTGCCTCAGCCTCCCTGATTATAGGCATGTGCCACCTCACCTGGCCTGAATGTACTTTCTATCAGAAAGAATCAAGAGCCTTAGGAAGAAGAGGAATTAAGGAAGGAGACCATTATAGGTAGGCTCTTAATAAGTATGTAGTAAAAAGACAGATAAACAGAAGAGAAAATTAGGGAAGCAGGGTGAGACAGGCAAGCAGGAAGGAGCAGGTAAATGTGAGGTATTAGTGGTGATGGTGGTAGTGGTGGGTGCTTATATAAATTAGTTAATAGAATTTTATATTATTGAAGATTTTTTGTTTTGAGGTTCAAAGGTAGGGCTTGAAAAGGTACTTGGATTATGGGAACATTATAGCTAAATGTGATGTTAGAAGAAGGCAGGGCCTGCTTGGAAAAGGTGGGTCAGTGAGGACATGACCTGAAGAGTGCAGCTCTGCTTCCTAGCTGCCATGAGGCGAACAGCTTTCCTCTGCCAGTGTGTGCTGTGCCTCTCTGCTCTAGAATCTGCCAATATGAAATATGAACCAAAATAAAGCTTATCTCCTTTAAGTGGTGGGTGTTGGGTATTCTGTCCCAGTGACCAGAAAAGTGACTAAGATATTCTTAGAATGTTTTTATCAGCTGGGAATGGTGACCCACCTTTGTAATCTCAACTATTTGGGAAGTTGAGGCAGGAGGATAGAAAGTTGGGAGACTAGCATGGATACTTAGGGAGGCACTGTCACAAAGTAAAAAATAAGAAAAGGGCTGTAACTTCCTGGTAGTGTTTGCCTAACATTGGTGAGGCTCTGTGTTCAGTCCTTAATACTGAAAGAGAAAAAAAAAAATCCTTTTGTAAGTAATTAAACTGGGTGTGGGAGCACACATTACTGTAATACCACAGGAGGCTGAGGCAGGAGGATGTCTGTGAGTTCAAAATGAGACCCTGTCTCAAAAAAAAAAGAAAAATAGCTAGTACTTTCTTGACATACTTAGGACAGGTGGAATTAAAAAAAAAATAGGTAAAATTTTAATTTAGCTGTAGTGACATAGGATAATGCTAGTATTTTTCAGACTATTAAGAAAATTGACAATATTGAGGACTGAACCCAGGGCTTTTCACTGAGCTACATTCACATCCCTCTTTGAATTTTTTTTTTTTTAATTTTTTACAGCCTTGCCAAATTGCACAACCTGGGCTCAAATTTTTGATAAGCAACTAGAGTGCTACGATTATAGGAGTACGCCATGACACCTGGCCAAAACAATATGTTGTAATTTTTTTTTTTTCTGATGCAGGGAACAAAACCCAGAGTACCTCAGCCTTGTGAGGCAAGCATACTACTTCTGAGCTACATCTTCAGTCTGTGTTTTGTAGTTTTAAGTGTATTTTATTTGCAGGCAGCTTGAACTTTGATCATCAATACATTTTATTAGATGGAGAAATTTTGTTATTCAATTAAAAAGTAAGTATCCTGAGGGATATTTTTCTTTTTTTTTTGGTGGAGCCAGGGATTGAACTCGGGCCCTTGCACTTGCCAGGCGAGTGCTTATTCTACTGAGCTATCTCCCTGGCCCCCTGAAGAATATTTTTCTAGAATTTTTTTTTTCTCTCTCTCTTCTAAGCATCATGCAGTTTTAGTTTTGCTCCTGAAGTAAATAAGAATTAAGGAATTGAAAGAGGTCCATATTTCAGAATGCTATCTGGCTTTGGTACTTTCTATCTGTTAGAATCAAAGCTCTTGAAAGTTCTGTATTTCTCTTTCAAGCTTCCTTTTGGTATGCTACTTTTATTTATAAATAATATTATAGTGTGTTCTTTCCAGTTTTTTGACTGCTTGATTGAATTACCTTTCATTTTAGTTTTTTGTTATGTGCTGATTTAAACAAATTATTACAAAATTTAATTTTTAAAGTTTTCTCAAAACCCTCTTAGAGTTTTACACTACCAAATTGTGCTTAACTTTGTGTTTAATTTTAACATTTGTTTGAAAAATTATAGCTTCAATTGCTGTACATTCCCCACAAAAAACTACTAAAAATCATGCCTTGCTGGAGGCTGCAGGACCAAGTCATGTTGCAATCAATGCCATTTCTGCCAACATGGATTCCTTTTCAAGCAGCAGGACAGCAACACTTAAGAAGCAACCAAGTCACATGGAGGCTGCTCACTTTGGGGACCTAGGTAAGTGACTTTTTGTTAACTTCTAATAGAAGGAGATGAGTACAGTATGTACAATTCCTGTTATAGAAAACTGACCTATATTGTTGAAAAAGACTATAAAAAATACACTAAAATTAAAATAACAGCAGCATGTATCGTGAGTGCTACTTTATTATGTTCCTATAAATAAATGATATATAGCATGGCTGGGAGAAAAATGAGCAGTTTCCAGGAAAAGAAATACATTTGCCCACTAATTAAAAATGTGTGAAAAAGGTGCGTCAGTAAAACAGAAATGCAAATTAAAACATATCAGAATATATTTAATTTTGATGAATTGGATGTTCACACAGATTCAAGGAAATGGCCACTCCCATTTAACGATGATGTAAATTGGTGAAGACTTTGGAAAGCAGTCAATTTGAAAATACTTATTGAAATACAAGACATAGCTATGAGTAGTGGCACAGGTCTGTAATTCCAGCTACTCAGAAGGCTGAAGTAGGAAGGTTGAAGTTTGAGACTAGTCTGGGCAGTTTAACAAGACCCTACCTCACATAGGAATAAAAAAAAGATCTGAGGTATATAGCTCAGTGGTCAAGTACTTTCCTAGTGTTTTATGTCCCTGGGTTCAATACCCAATACTAAAAATAATATATTTGTGTGTGTGTGTGCGCGCGTGCGTGTACACATCTGTGTGCCATTTGGACAACACTTTGCAACATGTAACCCTCAGATGTACTTGTTACATAAGCACAAAGATGTATATGTAAGCGTGTATAAAATAGTTTACAGTAATATTACTTGCAATAGCAAAAAATGAGAAACAATATATAAATACATATTAATAGAGAAATAGTCAAACTGGTGTGTTCACACTCTAGAACATGGTATAACTGTTTAAAAGTCCAAAAATGACATATAGAGAACTGAATGTGGTGGTGCTTACCTGTAATCCCAGTATTCTGGAGACTGAAGCAAAAGGATCAATGAGAATTTGAGGCCAGTCTGAGCTGCATAATGAGACCCTGTCTCAAGAAAACAAAATAAATTAATAAAGTAAAAAGCCATGCAAAAGTGGAAAGAGTAGCTAGAATACAGTTTATGTTGAGATCCCATATGTAGAAGATCTTTTAATATTTGTTACTCAAATTTCTTCACTTAAAAAGCTTGATGGGTGCTATAATTCCAGCACTCTGGAAGACTGAGGCAAGATTACAAGTTTGAGCCCAGCCTAAACAACTTATTGATTTCAGCATAAAAATAAAATAGAAAATGTTTCAAAATAAAAAATGAGGGGCTGGAGAGATGGCTCAGTGGTCTAAAGCACCTACTTAGAACAAGCTTAGCAAAAGCATCAGGGACCG